ACAGATATAAAAAAATCACTGTTAAACAAAAATTTTTAAGTAAAAAAATCTTAGAAATATAATCAGAAAAAACCAACTGACATTACAGTTATTTTCTTTTATGTAATTTCTTCCATAAATATTCCGATAAAATTATGAATATGCATTTTGCATATGTACATATAATTTAAATATCAATTCTTGAAATTGTTACAATACCATAAATTTAAAATATTTATTAAAATTAAGGGAACACTGTATAAAAAAATTTAATTTTTGTCTTAAAATTTTTATAAATTTTAATAATTTAATTAGCTGTATTATAGAAAGCACCTAAATTAAAATAAAATTTAATAACTAGTTAATAATATATATATTTAATATTTGTTTCTCAGGTTAAAGAACTGCTTATGTCCTTTGGCCAGTTGAGAGCATTTAACTTGGTCAAGGATAGTGCAACTGGACTTTCTAAAGGATATGCATTTTGTGAATATGTTGATACTTCAATAACAGATCAGGTTAGTGAAATTTAATTAATTCTGCAGCAGTCACATATAAAAAATAACATAAGTAATCAAGTGAAATCTCTGAGAAACAAATTATTATAAATGTAATGTTTCATTCAAACAGTAAATGAATCATTTAATAGAAACAGGATCATATGAGGTATATAGAAAAGGAAAAGAAGATGCAGTTATTTTATCATTATTAGTTACTTTATATAATTTATCTCAAATCAGTTTTTAATTTTATCATATATGAAATTTGGCTATATTTATGTTATCATAGACAAAGAAAATGCATACAAATATAAATTATTTATTCTCATCATGAATTTACCAAGATTAAGTTTTAAAAGACAAAAAAACAAATGTAGAATTACAATTGAAAGTAAGATCTTAACATCTGATTTTTAAATAGGATTTTTTTTAATAAGAGAACCTTCTTACTATTACAGAATCTATATATTAATTTGGTAAGCTTCAAGTACTCTCTGGCTTCATTCCAGAGAAAAACTGAGGATACAGACATGGTTCAGGTATCAAAATAAAGCTCTTGACCTGTAGATAAGACTATTGCAATCAGAAATGAAAAATTCGCAACCATTTGGTATGATGGAGTGGCAAGGATACAATGTTAGGTCTATGGGACATGTCTGATTCTTACCCACCATTTAGTGATTTACTTTTTTTTTAACTGTTAGGGGGGAAGTATGCAGCAAAAATTCAAATGATATTTCTACTACTTATGTATGTGAATCATTTTTCCACAATGAATTTATTAAAAATTAAAACAAGAAACTGACTAACAGACACATCAAAACTAATATAAAACTAGCATTGACTAGTATTTAACCAAATATTTCCGATATATTATTTTTACATCAGTTTCAAAAGCTAAATTACATATACATGTGCTAATTTATAATTATACATGAATAAATAATTGTGATTTATCAGCATTTATTTTTTCTCTTTTTGAACTGATGTGCCTCTCGCATCAACTCAAATGTTTTAAAATGCAGCCCTTACACAGAAAAGGTTGCCCATTCCTGGCCTTAAGAATGATCAATAGCAACTCTTGAACCCAGATGCAAAATTGAAAAAAGTCTCATTGTAGCAGAGAACAGGTAGACACAAATCACCTGCAGATGGACCCAGAAAACACTTGCTGAACTGATGATTACTGTGTAGAACACCAAATTTTAAATCAGCATATTGCATTTTAATTAAATAAAACTGTCTTTCATCATATTCCTGCTAGTATTTTTTAATTTAGGAACAGAAAAATAAATAATACCTGAAAAAGTGATTAAATTTTTTGTCATCATTATTTCAAAGAAAAACTTTCCTATATATAATGTCATAATGTAATTTGATTTTATAGTTTCATTTATAACTAAATTATTTTACAGTGAAGAATGTTATCATTAATGGCCATCAACATCCATTGTAATACCAGACTTACTATACACAAATTTATAATACAAAATTTTGAAATATCTTGTAAATACTTTAAAAGGCAAACAATTATCTACTATAGATATTAAATGGAGACAAATTATGAACATTTTATTATATAAAACTAATGAAATTTGTTAAGACTTCATGAGAAAACTCATTATTTTGAATTAAGTGAAAGATTACGATTGGATGATTGATTGTTCTGAATGTAGATTTTTCATGTACCTTAGAATCATATTTAACATTATTGTGTTCACATAATAATTTTTCTATCTGTAATGTTAGTTATATATTTTTTAGTTCTCGTTAATAATATGGAAAAAATTTTAATTTCAGAATTAATAATTTTTATATTAGCTGAATCCTTTATTTTCTTTCTGTTAAAATTTTCAATTTTTGAAAAGTTAAATGTGATTGATTCCTCAATTTCAAAAAATCCTACAGTTTGGTTTAAGACAGTTTTTTCAATATATCTTGCCCATTGAAATTATTTTTATACTCTATTATTAAATTTCTTTTTTTTTTTTCTTTTTTAACTGTTTCATGAGCAGAAATTCATAGTCCAGAATGGTTATATTATTTTTTACTTACTTGGTTCTGTTATTTATATAACAGAGGGAAAGTATGGTAAACAGTCAAAAAATGACCCCTTCAGGATTTTTATACTTTTGGACTTGGGACCTTAAAATGTCGAGAAATGTAAAAAAAATTGGGCTTTTTTCTGTATGTATAGATGGTAGTGTGTGGGGGCACAATTTTGTTCGCTCTCTTTTAAGCTTAATAACTCCTGTGCTTTTTGCCAAAAATTTCTGAAGTTTTTCAGGGAAGTTTGTGTATTGGGAAACTGATGCTGTTAAATTTTGGTGGTTAAGAGCCGCCACAAACTACAGCTTTGCGAGAGCAAAATACTAGCAAACATGTGATAGTACATCTGATGACATGAAAGGCCCCATTCCTTTCTTTGCACCTGTGTTGTTATCTCTTTGCTAGCGAGTGATGTGAGCATGCACTCACTGTTGACAATTCAACAATGAACATACACTCATATCACTCGCTAGCAAAGAGATAACCACATGGGTGCAAAGAAAGGGATGGAGTCTTTGATGTCATCAGATGTACTATCACATGTTTGCTAGTATTTTGCTCTCTCAAAGCTGTAGTTTGTGGCAGCTCTAGAGGTTGATGGGATGGGGAGATAAAGGGGGTCATGTGTCTTATCTCGAGTAGGATCAAACTTAATGACAATTTTCCTTATTATTAGCATTTACAATTTTTTTTTTTTTTTTTATAGAACCCATCCCTACTCTCAAAATTTAGTTTTTTTCCATTTTACAATAATTAAAATTATGAAACGTTTTTACCATATTTTGACGAGTATAAGTCGCTGTCAAGTATAAGATGCACCCCTATTTTGAGACAAAAAATTTAGAAAAAAACTGTTCTAATGGGACTGTCTAAAGATGCATTTTATTTGTTTTTTTTTATTCAAGAATATGACGGATGGATGAATCGATACCTTTATTAAACTGAAATAATCGTCATTTCTTAATGTAAACTCAGAGGTCACGTGATGATAGTCGACAGAACATGGCGGCAATGACTCGTGTGTCACTACTCTGATAATCTAGATGCTCTAGCCATTCGGTTGAGGGACCACCTGCTTAACAGACCACTGCACAGGTTGGTCCCTAGAGTGGACCACTACTGTAGGTAATTTCACTGTAAAAATGGTTGCCTGTTGAGTATAAGACGTACCATAATTTTGAGCTCCAAAAAATAGTAAAAAAAGTGCAATGTATACTTGTCAAAATACGGTAATAATAAAATATTGGGTTATTGTAACAGATGGTGCCTCAAACTGTTTTAAATGTTGCCAGGAAAGATATTGCTGGATTTTTTGTTATTGGATATAATAATTATTTGGAAATTGTTCTATTTTTTTTTATTAGTATATTACTTATAAGAATAATAATCTTTATTGAGAGTTTAAAAATTGTTATGTGAATTTTGGTGTTTATTGTGTGTTTTATTTATAAAACTGTCCAGTTATTTGCTATACTTTATTTTGTTGTAACATTGTTAATTTAATTTTTTCAGGCTATTGCTGGACTGAATGGGATGCAACTGGGAGATAAGAAACTTATAGTTCAGAGAGCAAGCGTTGGTGCAAAGAACAGTCAGATGAATGTATGATGATATAATTATCATAATATATAAAATATTTCTAATTTTTATAATAATAATAATAATAATTTTTTTAGGCTCCAGTGCAAGTTCAGGTACCAGGTCTTAATCTTACTGGTGGAGCAGGTCCACCCACAGAAGTTTTGTGTCTCATGAACATGGTCATTCCCGAGGAATTAAGAGATGAAGAAGAGTATGAAGGTTAGTTTATTTAAATATCTACTGAATTATTACTTTAGAATTTAGATCTGTAAACTTAATATTCCATGTATTGTCAAATTTTTTTACTTTTAATTTCATGCAGGAAATACATGTATAGGCTTGCATTTAATGTGGACTGTTGTTTTGTTTTGATGATATTTTTAATACATACATCAAACAATATTATAAATTTCTAATTGCCATATTTATTCTAATAAACAGTGCATTTACCAGTACAAGATAACTATTATTTTTATTCTTTGGAAGTTAGGTGTGACTGTTATTTCAGGGCTACTGTTAATGGAAAAATCTGGTGATTTTTTTCATATTATTATTTGATAAACAACACAATACTTTATTTCAATTTACTGTAAGAGTGACAATGCTGAATAATATGTGAAATTTTTTCTAGTTTAAAATAAGTCCTATCTTTTTTCAATAGACACTTACTATTAGAGGATACTCTAACCTTTTCTACACTGTTTATTAGAGTAAATATGGTATATAAAATGTGACCAGCTGTTTTGAATCAATGCTTCTCATGCATTAATACATTTTTATGTTATTGATACAATGATGACAATTTATAGAAGTTAAAGAACAAACTATTTTGATTTTTTTAAAATCAAAATAGTTTGTTCTTAAGGTATGGTTCTGATTAAAATACAAATAAAGTTTTCCAACATATTCCAGTTACATCTATCAATTATTTTCATTTTGTAATTAACATTCATTAATAAATCATTTTTTTAACTTTATTATTATATCAGTTCTAACAAGTCATTAATAAAATTATGACAAAACTTGCAAAATCTGTAATTAAATACTTGTTAATTTATATTTGATAACTTATTCTTTTATAATCCAAAATTTTAAATTAAGATATAAAGTAACTTATAAGCTAAATTATTTATGAAAAAAATTAATCTTGTTTCTTTATTTTTTCATTAGCTGCTATTTATTGAGTCAAATCATTTATATGTGTGAATGTATAATTTATATTTCTTATAGCCAAAATTTGTAATTAATTACCTTATCTTTTTTACTTATTTAATATATAATTAATATAAATATTTTAGGATTAATAATGCTTATAAGTTGAGAATATATTAAATGGCATATTAAAAAAAATCTTTATCAACATTTGCTGTAGCAGATATCAGACATCTTTTAGATAATTGTCGCAAAGAAAGGAAACTGATAAAGAAAATATTTCTAATTATTTTTTTTTGTGCTTTAAAAATTAATAATGTAAAATATATTGCAAATTATGTAATAAAAATTTTAATCTTATTTGAATATTGAAGAAAAATAATGCTGTTGTTGACAGGAAAACAATTATTGTAGTCAGAATTTATTTTTTTTTAAATTTTATTTTATTCAGTATAAAATTAGTTACATCTAAAAATCTTATTTAAAGTCTGTCTCATCTTTAATACTTGCATTAGAAAATAAAGCACAATAGAAAGTAATTAAAATAAAGTTTGTAGAAATATAATTTTAGAATTAACAAGCAATTATTTATTGTGACGTTGTCACAATGCCAGGCTGCAATTTTTAATCATATTTTTAATTTATTTAATTTAAAATATATGCTCTCCACCTAAAATTAGTAGCGGCTTGCCCCTGTACTTCATACTTTTCCTTTAACAACAAGGTTGTGCCAGTCATCTATCTAACTCCTTTCAGGGAAAATTTTTGAATTGAAATAACATGACTCCTAGTTTGCATCAGAAGTTCATATATAGTTAATTGGGCCTCCAGCCCAAAGTATCCATATCTGGTCTCGACTTTTATCTGTCTAACTTTGTTCTCAATTCTTTGAATTGTACAATTCAAAACAAAACAATCTTTTTAATTCAGCAATAACTTTTTATAACAAAGCATTAAATGTTTATTAATAAAATATTATTGTTAGATTATAAAGGCTGATGTTCTGAATTGTTTAAATAGCTGTTTATGCAGTTTATTTGATTTCTTATTTACCAGTTACAAATTGGAAACATGTTTAGATTTATTATTTTTGAAATTTTTCTTGTGATTCATGAGTTGCACTGCCTGTCACAAAATTCACAATTTGAAAAATTATATTAATCTGGCAATTGGAATGGTGAATAGCCTGAGAGCAGTCTGGGGGAAGTCATTCGGTGAAAAAGAGCACAAAATATGAATCAATGTTGGTCAAATACAATTTTACTGTTAATAAAAACAAAGTTGATTCTTTTTACCTCTTTGACCTTACTGTTTTACATTTCTGTGTATATATATTTGCCTACTTGGACTTTGTTTATTAATAGAACTTATTACACTGATGAATTTTCTGATTCTGCAAAGAGAGAAAATCTTAGTCAAAAGTCAAAACAAACAGATATTTTGTTTTGAAACATCTGCTTTTTTTTTGTTGTTCGTTAACTTGTGACTTTTGTTACACACCACTGTGAAAGAACCATGAGTTAAAGAATTTGTTACCAACTCTCACCCTATCTGTTTTGTTCTCATGTATTGATATCCCATCATCCTGCATTGTTTCATTCTTAAAACTTTTGCAACAAACTGTGATAGCTAATATGTTAATATTTGTGGAATTTGATTTTGAAGAATATAAAATTGTGTGCTATTCACAACTTTAATATTACAGTAGAATCTGCTTGTTGTAATTATGGATATTGCTCTCATTCATCAAATGCTATTAGAATTAACAAGTCCAAAAACATAAAGCACTATCTACATGGTATGGGTGCTGTATAATTGTTGATAGATGCAAAAATTACTTTATTCCTGATATATTGATTTATCATTTATTCCATTAAACTTTTAAAGTATATCTTTACATCATTATTTTAATAATGATAAAATGATCATTTTATCATTGTTGTTATCCAATAAAGTCTTGTGTCATTTAACTTAGGTTGATTTTTCACACAGCTTCACACATCAGATTAAAGTGATTTTTGCATATATAACACTATAAAAACTTGCTTGCAATCATAATACAGTTATAGTTATCATTGTTTTCAAACATTTATATATTTTTAAATAAGTTAAAATATATAAAATATATTCAAATATATGTGTTAAAAATTAAATAGTATTTTTGTATTATCAACTTCAATGTATGTCTGATAATGTGCAATTGTTATCAGTCTTAGACATTACTTTAAATGTTAATTGTTTTAATTATTTGCTTGCAGTACAATAGTTTAAATTGTTGGCATTTCTTCAATCATACACTAGCTGTTGTTAAAGGCTGTACTGAAAAAAACAGCAGACAAACAATACTGGATGAATTACTATAATTAATAATAGTAATAATCAGAATTAATAAATCTTTCAGTTATACAATTTTTAATTGTTTTAACGTGACAGTGTCAACAAAACCTGAATTTTCACTAATCATATTTGCTTATTTCATTTAATGTTATTGATTGGTTATTGTTATTAATAATGATATAAATCAAANAAGCAATCTGTTAATAATGACGAGTGCTTTTAAATCCGAGTTTTCTAAACAACCAACAAATCACTTTCTTAAGAGTGAGTGTGCAGATGCCATTCATCAATGTCTACTGCTGATATTAATGACTCATATGTCAACTAATTGGATGGTGGGACCTATAGTTATCGCTAACCTTTAACATCTGTCAACCGACACAAAACTATTTGTTTGCAAAGGAATTCGATTTCTAACTGAGAGGGGAGAGAGAGAGAGAACCATTTTTGGAAATCCGTTATTGGAAGATTGCTTCAGAAACTAATATATATCCAATAAATCGTCAAACAAATGCTTCTGAATAGAATCTTTTCCTGTTTCAAAGGAAACTCTGCTTTAAAAACCATTTCTTTAAATTTTGTTCGCGTAAAAGTTATGTTGTCAGAAAATCGTTTATTGTCAGGACGACGTTAACTCACTTGTCTAGATTCTCTTCCTTGTTTGATATTTTACTGTTATTTTTACACTTAAGGAAAAAAATAACCGTAGAAATCATAAAATTTATACATTTACCGTGCACATATGAATGAATCTTCAATAAAGCAAAGACATAAAGTTGTACAGAGAAAATGTCGATGACCGCATTGGTAGTTAGTTTCACGAAACAAACATTTCTTTTCTTATTTTATTTGCTTATTTTTTCGTTTGTTCTCCTCATATAAATTGTTTTATCTTCGAAAACAAACATTTTTTTTCTTATATTTCTTAAGGGCTCTTCAAAGATTTCTTATAGATCATCACAATAACAATTCATTACAGTATCTAGAAATGTTTTCGAACGTTACCATTATCAAACTCTTCATTCGGTAATCGACCTAACATTAGATAAATACAATTTATTATATTGTATAAGGCCAATTTTAGCGTACGAAAAACAAAATTCCAATTTGGTATGGATAGTTTCAATCAGAACTTGTTAAGTCGTATTATTTTTTTCCATTGTTATAGTCTATAAAAGCATACCCTCTTATACTTACTTTTGGAAGATAAGAATTAAGATAATGAAGAAAGTTGATTACAGTAAACGATGAAAGGATATTTATTAGATGAACAATAAATTAAGTGTTATTTTCTTTTAAATTGAGATAAATAAAGAGATAAGAAATGTGCTACTCTTCTTTTAACCATTAACATCAATGTTTCTCTCGAGTGTATTAGTCATTAGCTGACATTTACCAGGATTCTCAACAATGCACTCGAACCTCTTAACCAATTTCTAACGTTTCCAATGGAGAAATGACATCATTCTTTCTTTATCAAATCAAAGAATAATCACTTAATGAAGTCTCTAAGCGAATTATTATTTACTCTTTTTTTTTCATATATCTCGCCGTTATAAACTGGAAAAAAAGATGCGATTTTACTTGTAGCGTGTTCAAAAAGTAGAGAAAAGTATTATAAAGTGAAAGTTATCATCCATAACGGATATCATCCGTACAACTTATCAAGCATCAATCACAATATGAAAGACAGGATTACCATTATTGAATGGAACATCTGTTTCAACATGGATCTTGCGTGATGACAAGGAGGCATAATGTCTCTGAAGAAGAAGGAAACTATACGAGTGAAGCATAACTTTTGATTGAAGACGTTTACTTTCTTATAAATGTATCTTATAAGAAAAACTTCACTTGAAGTTCATGTTTGGTTCGTATCATATGAATGACCATTGCTAAAAATTAAATTTAATAGTATTAGAGTTTGATGTGTTATTTATTTTCACTTAAAAAACACACATTAAATACATTCTGCACGAAGAAAAAGTGTTGTATCCACTTTAAATGATCTTCTTAGTTAAGACGAGATGCTCGTTCTTCAATGAAAGAATTTAAATTCAAAGAAATTCGTGTGTAGTTTTTTCTTTTTCATTTATTTATTTTAATTTTATTACTAAAAATTTGGTATCTTCTTTTAATTAAAAGATATAAATTCAAAGAGAAGATCGTCGGTTTGAATAATCATTAAAAGAATTTTCATGTATTAATTTTCTGCTTAACTTTGCATTTTCATTAACATTCCTCCTTGATTTTCTAAATTATGCAACATGTTCTTGCTGCATTTTTTTTCATTTCATTTTTTTTGTAATACAAAAATCGATATCACGATTAAAAAATGAAATATCAAGAATATTATTTTATCTTTTTTACTTTCATCTCTTGTATTAATTTAACATAATTTTCTCACCTTCTCTTGCAGCGGTTTTAGGGAGAAAAAATAATTATTTAAATATTTTCAGCGTGTATGTAAGCACATTAACGTGTTATGTCATTATCGATCATTTTAATATTTAATAAATCTGCCTGTTTCTATTTTGATGTTAGGAATTGGCAACGTTGTACGTGTTTGGTCTAACAGGTGACAAAATGTGATAAGAGCTAAACATAGATCGACACAAGAATATCCTCGAGCTTTCCTAAACCGTTTTAGTAACTTTGGCTTGAACTAACTTTTGTAATGATTAACATTATTTACCTGTCTTTAAACTTTAATTTTTTTTTTAAATTATACAAAACATTTTCTTAGCCGTTCATTTAATATGTATTTAAATAATAATCTCTAATTATAATTATGAATTTAGAGATGTTTAGAAGCTAAATAACACGCGTTTAACTCTGTACGTCTTCCCAATCGATTGCTGTTACTTATTATTTTTGGTTGTGTTTAGCGCTTGGAAATTGTAAATGCTATCGAGTTCTAATTAATTATTTAATTACGACTACTTTATTTAATGTTGTTTTCGGTATTTTTTGAGGTTATTTTTCTGTTTGTTCAATCGGGTGGCCGACGACTTCCCAAAATAAATGAAAACCATGTGCTAACGAGATGTTATTCTGACTGCATTTCTAAATTTACCAAAGAGCAGTTTTCTTCGTCTACACCTCTTAAATTAGTTTGTATTATCTGTGAAACATTTCATTTCCTTAGATAATACCTTATAATTTTCTCACCTTCAATATCAAATTTTCGTTCCCCCTCTTCCTGTCTAATTTAATTATTAACACTTCCATTTTAGTCGTCGTTAGTGGTTTTATTTGTTAAATTTTGGGCGTATTTATATATTTTCAAGCCAAATTCTCCTATTTAATTCATTAATTAATGGATTTTTAATTATTTACAACTTAAAAAAACAGCTTATTTTTTGATAATTTTGAATCGATTGTGCCGTTCCGAGTGAGTTGTTAATTGAAAATAGATAATTAAATTTTAAAAAAACTCGAGTTCTTTAAGTAGAAAATCTTTTACTTCTTTTTTTTCTATTTACGAGAAGTGCTTTACTTAAGAAGTTTGTTTGGGATTTTATATTTTAATTCGGTTGCATCTGGTGAAAGAATATATCGATCGTGCAGTTTGGAATGGGGAAAAGCCAACGCTAGAATGCACTTAACATTTATGATTTTGTTGCAATGAAAGGCTAGAGATTTATTTTTTAATTTAAAAAAAAATTGTAGCCCAATCTCCCAATTTCTTAAGAAATTGGAGAATTAATAGAGAATGCGATAGCGTTGGAAGCGTGCCATTGTGTTGGTTAGCTTATAAAATTGCCGATTATACGAATTTATTGTTAAGAAACACTAAGCAAAAAGTTGCTCTTCGAATCAGAAAATGGAATCTCTTATTTTTAGGAGGCCACTAACTTCTATAAAATTGTTTTTTAACTTTGAGATCGAAATTGCCTAATAAAGTAGCTATAATAATTAAAAGATTATGAAGATATCGATTGAAATTCATCTCCATAGATTATCATTTTCATTTAGTTTGCGAATAATTTTATGGATTATAAAAATTCTTAATTGTTCGATTACGAAAATGCTGGCGAAATCTGAAAATTTTATCACTACGACCCGGTATTAATGGAATTTATATGACAGATTTATGGACACTCGACTATAGAATTCGCCATATTTGATTAAGGCATGAGATTCTTTGCCTGATACGTCGAAAATGTACCCAAATTTCTAGAAATTAACTTAATTAATCTCTTCGTTTGGTTCTATTTGCACATAATTGTTTACGTAACAATTCACTCCCTGTCGTTGCTGAAAATGAGAAATTCGCGTGGAGACGATGATTAAATTTCCCGGAAATGGGTCTAAAACTTTAGGGTATTTCAATTCATTTAAAAATAAGTAGAAGCATACACATAATAGAACAGCTAGATTCGTAACAGTTACCTGTTACGTGTTTTCTTCACAGGTTTAAACCTCATATAAAATCCAATTGATTTATACGAAATTTGAACGTATAACTCATTTAGAATGCAAATATTTAAGATAAACGTCACGTATTTTGCGCCCATCAAGAGTTTAATTAATTTAAAATTATCTTTCATAATACAACTTAACGTTTGCGTAGGATAAAACATCAAAACAAGCATTTAGTAGCGATAAAATCGCTTTATTTGTATGAAAAATTATCATCTTTTTAGTAATTTTTATCAAATATTTTATGTTTTTAATAAATGTAGTAAGCGAAGAGAGATTCCGCGATAATTTAGTAATAAATAAACCAGCAACAAGTTGCTCAACTTTCCCAGCAACATTTAAAATTTTATTTTATGGCACCATCTGTTATAATATTTTATTTTTAAAAAACTTTTTATATTTTTAACTATTATAAAACGGCAAAAAGCTTAATTTTGAGGGTAGGGACGAATTTTATAAAAAATAAAAAAAAAAATTTGTAAATGCTAACATAAAATCGTCATTAAGTCCCGACCCTATTGGTGATACACACGACCCCCATTATCTCCCCATCCCCTCTATCTTTAATCACCAAAATTTAATAGCATCAATCCCACTAATAAGCGAATCTCCCTGCAAAATTTCAGAAACTTTCGACAAAAAGCACGGGATTTATTAAGCTTCAAAGAGGATGAACAAAATCGTTCCCACACACTATCACCCAAACATACAGAAATTACCTTTCCCTCGAATTTCTTCGCATTTCTCGACGTTTCAAGGGTCATGAGTAAAAAAAAAACAAAACCCGTAAAAATCTGAGGGGTCTTTTTTACCGGATCGCCGAAATTAATGTGCGTATTTCGGGTGGATTATTATTAAAATTGGTCCTTTTCGGTAGGAAAGATTTTAAATTCTAAACGAGGATTTAGACAGAAGGAACGATTAGCTTTTAAACTCTCCGTAGAGTGAGGAAATTGCGCTTTATTCGCCATTTTCTGTTGGAGGAAAACTAGCGGAACGAAAATAATTTATCATGCACGAATCTTTACAATTATACAAAGTTCTGTCGTCAGTACTTTTCCTGCACGCAACGGTGGTCAAACGCTTATCCAAGTAATAACAATTCGTCAATTTTCTAGTTTCTGAGGGAAATCTATATAAATGGGAATTAAGCACTAAATACTTCAGAATTTGACCGACAAAAAGTCTCTTAATATAGTATTTAAGCATTTGTTTTGATTTCGACATCCAGAGTCGAGGAAAACACGACTTTAAACGCGTTGTCTAGACGTATTTTGAAGACTATCGTAGCGAATAAAGCGCTATTTCTCGCCGTGCGGCGAGTTTCCGAATTAATTTTTGCATAATTATCTTACGAAATCGCTACGTGGAATGAGTTATCGCTAATCGGTCTCAATATATGAGGTAAAGAAGCGTTTATAACTCATTTTCTATAAACAACTTTTAAGTTAATAAAAATTTTAAATTTATTTTCCAAAATGTTTTACGTAGAATGTATTTTTTACAGTTTATTTACATAATAAGAACGCGTAAATTAAAAAAAAAATCAATCAAAATTGATAGAATAATATGATATTTTTCTGCTTTTTTCCTCGTATCTAATTTATTGAAACAAATTTTATGTTATAATCCTGTGTGCTGATACATAATACTAAAAAGTACTAATAAAAGTTTGCATTTGTATGGTTTCTAATCGAAAATAAACTGATTTCGGATGATCCAACATGCGAATCGTTTCTATAATTTACCAAAAATTCGCAAACACTGTAACATTTTAGAATTTTTTGAAGAAATTTCTTCAGTTTTCTGTGTTTTATAAATCCACGGATTGATAATTTTACCTTATTTTTGAGTCGATCTTTAGGGAATTATGCTCTTACTTCACTAAAGGGTTTCCTTTAAGTTGATAACAATCTACTACGCGGTGTTTCATTTAGGAAGAGTTCCAACAATTTACCTATTGTGATAGAATTTAAGTGAGATTTTTATGTCTCCTTCTTGGAACTTTTCCAGTATTGATAATAGAATAGAGGTTAAAACTAAGAGGTTGAACCGAACTGCTCTTTTTACCCACTAGTTGCAAATTCTCTCTCTTTATCTTTCTCTCTAGCAATAGAGCAGAAGTTTAGGCAAAATTTTACGAGCAGATAATTCCGCAGTCGAGCTGGATTTTTACGTAATTTATCACCTCCAACTTTGGCCTTTCTCCTTTACTTTAATACTTAATTGATTGATGGATCTGGGGTAGGTAATTTATTAATACCTTTTAGCAAAATTGGAAAGAATTCGCAGTGATTGACAGTAAGTGTCGTACATTACAAAAGCGGCAAGTTCATTTGCCAACTTTTGTCGAAGAGAACATCATCCGTTTTGGCCCGCAAAGGTCATTTTTATTTCTAAGTTGGGGCGGTTTCTTTATTTAGATTGTTTCTCTTCTTCTAAGTCGAGAAGAAATCTGCAATTCTGTCCAAACCTCCTCCAATCTAAATGCGAAAAATCTTACGAAAGTTCTTTCTAAAGAAGAGGGAAAAAAAGGCTGTTTTTAAATTAATTTAAAATTTTCGACATTAAAATTCTCGGTAAATATTTTAAAATTAGTGCAGGATGATGAAATTTATCTTAATATGTTAAAACAATTTTTTATGAAGTTCTTTCACGATTTTCCGAAAAATTATTTTAGAAAATCATGGAAGAATTTAGTAAACATAAAATTTTTTCCTCGAAAATTTATACAAGAACTTCTTTTTTGTCTATTTTTAAATATTAAAAAAAATTTCACGAATAAAAGACTGTTCTTTGTCTTGAAGTTTATTTTTAAACTCTAAAAAAACTGTTTTAAAAAATCATGAATAAGCTTCGTGGAAATAAAAAGATAAAAAGTAAACTTTACTCAAAAATAAACAAAACTTTCGTGTGTTTTTTGTGTGTGTTGTGTACTTGCGAGTAAATAAAGGCCTTATTTTCTGGAATTTTATCAATAATTATTAATTTAATTGTAAATTATAAAATAGAAAGCAAATCAATAACTATGGAAAAAGAGTTTTATAGATTTATTCCAAGTTTTAATATTAATTAAGATCGATATTTTAACAGTAATCCACGAAGTTTATTGTAATTTTCCTTTTTTTTTTTTCGTATCTCTTGGAAAAAGTGGCAAATTGCAATCAATTCTATCGCGAGATCTAATTTACATATAAAAATAGACGGAATAACAAATTGGCTTAAGCCACGTGTTAAATTAACTAGAAAATTACACGTCATTTATGAGTCAATCTTGTATAATTATCTCATAAAATTACATAATTTTTTAGTGATTTAATTTCTAAAAAAATGAGAGAGATGCGTATCCTTCTGTTAACACACAACACAAAGTGTAAAAAAAGGCCCTTTAATTTATAAGAATTTTATGTTTTTATTTTCGTTCGAAAATACATTTACTCAAATGTGAAATGCCCAGATGTTACGCGATATTTTGTCTGTCATTAATTCAAATTTATTATTATGGCGTCTCGCATTAATCGAATTAGTTACGCTATAATTTCGCCCGTTCGTTATTACGTAACAATTCCGTGTTACGCTATAACGAATATTCCTTCTGCTGGAGTATTTTACGGTGAAGGCGTAAAATATACGAATATATATTTGTTTGGTTATAATATATGTTTACTTTTGTATAGGCCTATATATATAAGAAATATATTTACCTATAGGAATATATTACGCCTTCACCGTAGAATCTTTGTGTGTGTGTGTAGTAAATAAAATTAACACAGGAAGACCTAAAAAAATTGCATTATATAGCAGTAAACACTTATAAAAAGTGAAAAAAAATATGCTAAAAATATTCAGAATAGAAGACAAACTCGCCCACTTTATCCCTCACCTCTTAATGAATATTAATTTAGAAAAAAGCTAATATTTTGCCAACAACCAGCGCTATTTCTCTCCTCATCCGCGGTAAAAATCGATTGGGTCAACAAAGAAAAAGCAACCTGTTTTCGATACAAAAATAAAAATAAAAAAAATAAAAATCTTTCGCGTCATTCAATTTCCTCATCATTTGGACTCGGACTTCAAAATGTCACAACGCAGCATATAATTGATTTTATGCAAATGAGGCATTCCCAATCGATAGGAAACTGGCGGAAGGAAGAGAACGTATAGTTTGTCTATATCTCGACATCGGCTGCAACCGAATATCTTTATGTTATGACACGATATTGATTGCTAGGGCTCTATATATAGCTTAGACCTTTACTAAATTATATTTCCCGTTTCACTTCACATTGTGAGAGGCGAAGAAGAAAAATAAATCGTAATTTCTCTCTTCCACCGCGTTTCTATATTTAATTCCTCGCGCCAACTTCTTAGAAAAATATTCCCCCGATAAACTTCCATTTATAGTGAAGTAAGTTAGTTATATTTAGCAAATTCTTTCCAGGTGATCCAGTCGTCGACGGGGGACGAAAAATGAATGACATTCTTGTAAACATGAACGTCTCGTGCGGATTCGAATATATTATTCCTCTTATTTGTTTATTTATCTTAAGCCGGAGATTAAATTTAGCGATTCAAATCGTATTTTAAGTGTTACAAGTGTCAGAAACAAAATTTAACGCATTTTGTTAAATTCTAGCGTTAAAACACCCGAATCGAGTTGTTTTACTTTGTTTATCGACACTTAATTTGCATACTTTATGCTATTTTCAGGTATTTAAAGGTGGGTGAGGAGACATGTCTTCGAACAAACAAAGCTGCATTCATACGATTCGTGATTTGCAGTTCGAAGTGGTCCAACTTGAAGACACTTACGACATCGTCAGAGAAATAGGCGAAGGCGATTACGGTAAGGTGGTCTTGGCGCGTCATCGTCCTACCAGAGCGGAAGTGGCACTGAAAGGGGTGCCGAAGTCCATGACCACGTTCAGAGATTTCTTGATCGAGTTCCATTACAGTTACTTCCTGTCCCCTCACCGCAGCATCTTGGACACGTACGACGTGTCTTTCGAGACGAGCGAATATTATTATTTCGCCCAAGAAGTGGCACCGCACGGCGATCTGCTGCAGGCCATCGAAGAGAACGGAGGCATGGAGGAGAAAGATCTGAAAATCGTAGTGAAACAAATATGCTCCGCTCTGGAATTCATGCACAGCAAAGAGCTAGTCCATCGCGACATGAGGGCGGAGAACGTGTTGCTCTTCACACCGGACTTTACGCGCGTTAAACTGACAGATTTCGGTCTGACGAGAAGAGCGGGAACACTAGTCAAGAAGCGCACGAGATCTCTTCCCACGTGTCCTCCAGAAATTTGGGAAACCGTCCACTTAGAGGGTTATCACGTGGAAGTGGGATCCGACGTGTGGCAAATGGCCATGATGATATTCATAGCTCTGTCTTGCAAATTTCCCTGGGACAAAGCGGACATCACCGATCCTCGGTTTACGGAATTCGTCCAGTGGCAAAAGAGGAAATCGACGAGAATTCCCAAAGACTTTAAGAAATTCAGTCAGAGATTGCTGAGGATGTTCAGAAGGATGATGGATCCCAAACCTTCCAAGCGATATCCCATTACGGAAGTTAACAAATATCTAAACGACAGGTGGTTGATAGCCAGCATCCAGAGAGGAGCCATGAAATTAGAGTATCCGTCTTTGGATCCACCTAAAGAACAGGAGGACGCTAAAGACGTTAAAGAACAGAGAGTACAAGAATGGATCGTCAGTTCGAATTCTTAAAAATACAAAAGAAAACTCTTTTAAGCACAATAATTGCACTCGACCGTTTGAAGAAACTGTCTCGACGCACATAAATCGAAAAAAAAAATTCTAAAATGCAAAAAAAAAACCGGCTCCGGCTTCTTAGCAGCTTTGTTTTTTTTCCTTGAAATTCGTCTAAAAAAATACAAAGTTGGGTTTTAAAAAATTATCACAGACGAAGGATGCGGGTTGGCCTATAAATTCTTTTGTGTTTTATTTCAAGTTTTAACAGAAGGAAACTGCTAGCCACGGATACTTTTTGTGTAAACGTAAGATTATATTTTTGAGCTCACACGACAATCATTGATGATTTCTCTTAAACAATGGTGTGTAAAAGTTAACACCAAATCATCTTTAATAAAATTTTGAGTGTATATTTACACTTCTTTCTCCTCCTCCTCATTCCGTCGATATCCCACAACAGTCACGTGTTTAAACCATACCCTTTTAAACCCCGTATCAATTTTCGAGAACCCTTTCGACGGGCAGAAAATGTCTTAGTCATTAGAAATTAATTAAAAACGATACTTTTGATATTACGTTTTAAATTAAACAATAAAGAAATCTTTTAATACGACTTCAATTTTTATATTTTTCCACGTTTACGTCCAGCCGTGCCTTAAAATCTTCCAGATTCTATAATTTCCTATCGTAACTTTTAAAATGGCGATTGGATACCGGACACGCGGACGATTCCCGAATTACGAATCTCGTCGTCGTTAATGTCACCGTTCTGACGGGTATATTTTCAAATTCGATTCGTCCATACAATTGTAAAATATGTAGAGATATCATCATATTTTCTACGCTTAATTAAAATATAGTTTTAAGGATGTAAAATGTGATTAAACACGTTTAAAGTAACGTTTGGAAAAGAAGTGAGGAGTTGTATTCGTCGTTAAATAATTAAATTTCGTTGGGTTAATTTAAATTTTTGATTAAATTCTATATTCGATATTTAATTAAACATTAAGTTAACGTGGTTATCGTTAACGCGATTAGAAAATCCAATCGGACGTTAATTAATTTAAACCGAGAATATCGTTCTCCGCCATTTTGACAAATTTCTCGCCAAATTTAAGTAATTTCGGCATTTAACTCTTTCAACGCCTTACACTTAAGAGCGTGAAGCAAATTCTTTTGAACGAAGGTTTTGCTTTAGTAATAAGTATTTTGTATTAATAAAAATAAGCATTTACTTCGAATTATAGGTAAATCCTTCAAAACACAAGCATGTTGTCATACGTAGTTTAACCGTGGCATTCTTGTGTCGTGTTCAACTCTATTCTCTGCTTTTCGTTTTTATTTATACCGGCCATTGTCACAATTCCGGCCTGCAATTTTTCGTCACAATGCTGTCAATTTTATTAGTGGCTTTCCCCTGTACATCATGCTTTACCGTTAGCAATAGAGTGGTGCCGATCGTCTATCTAACTCCTTTCGGGGGAAAATTTTTGAATTGAAATAACGTGACTTCCGGTGTAAACTGGAAGATGGTGTATGGTTAATTAAACGTGACCTCCCGACCCTAAGCTTTTCGTATCCGGTCTCGACTTTAGTCAAAAATTGCAACCCGATAACTGAAATAGTTTTGTTTTAATACCTAACCGACATTTAATAATTAGAATAAAGTTATCGGCATTATTTAAATTGTTTAAACAAAGAAAGATCAAATTGTTTGAACTATTTTATTAATTAAAACAATACCGTCCATCGAACTATTCTTTAATTTCTTGAAAGAAGATAAAATTCTAATGGGAAAATACATCATATTTTAACGATAACCGTGAGTTTAACGCGTTATTAAAATATAAACCTGCATATTTCTAAAGGTTTTTAGGAATATAAATTAGAAATTCCTATTGTTTAGTAAGTTATAAACCTAGAACTACCCTTCATTTATTCCCGTAATGCGTGAGAGTTCTGAAAATTCATTCCTTACTCCAATTAAAATAAATTGCGATTTATTGTAAGTAGACGTCGAGACGAATTTGTGACATTTGCAAGGATATTTACCACACGCTTCTGTCCTTAATTAGACAAGAGGAAAGAGACGATTGTAATTTTGAGCTTGTAAATTGCGCGGAACCCCGAAATAAATGGATACATTATACCCTCGAGTGCGATTTTGCCGGCCATTTTACTCGCGTAAAGCAGTGAGCGAATAGCTGGCTTAAAGCGGCGAATTTCTCGACGTAACAGAGGAAGTTTCAGGTGGCGGTGACCGACCAACCGCCGCTTACGTTAGAAAAATAAGAGGTTAGTTTAAAGAAAAATGAATGGAAATCAATAGCGGAAGGCCGTCGTTTTACTCGGAGTATTTTTTTTTTTTAATTTTGAAAATGTATTATATTTACCTATGTACTGTTATTTACCTCCTGTTTAAAAATCGCATCGTCTTACAGACTTTCAAAAAACAGAAGGTTTTTACTAGCGGTATACAGTCGACTCCCATAACACTTTTGATAATTCTGTTTTATATGAATTCCATGTTGTACGAGTCACTTAGATTTTACAAATACGTGAGCCATTCACAGCCCGGTACATGTATTTGTAAAATCTAAGTGACTCGTACAACATGGAATTCATATAAAACGAAATTATCAACATTGTTATAGGGGGTCGACTGTATACCACAATTAAAATATATACATCTTGTAAACATACAATAGTAATAATAAACTTACATTAATTTATTATTAGTGTATTTAAATAAATGTAAGAAGTTAACATCGAGGTCGATTGGCTCTGGTCGGTCGCCATCTTGTTCTAAAGGTGACGACACACTAGGATTGCCAAAGCGGCACGCGTGGCCAATCTATGTGTCGCAGATTGGCCACCCCCGCAATAAGAAATTTTTTTGGGCGACTGAAAAACCATTTCGGAACCCTTTGGCTTTTTGGCTAGCGAACGTGCCTGCCAATTAAGTTTAAGAACACCAAAAAGCAAATTTCGTCGGCAATCAAAAATGAGGGAACGAATCGCCGATCGCGTTTTAAATCAAAATGGACGTTGCGGAAGTTTACGATTAATTTATATTAATCTGGTGCTAATTGGCGTAATAGTTGGGAAAAACGTGTTAAGATATACACGTTTTTTTTGTGACGTCAAAATAAACACGTGGTTTTTATTCTAATAATGGCGGTTAGCACTACAATTGGGACGATCTCCAACAAAACGAAAAAATAAATGAAATAAACGAATTTATTGAATCCGTTCGATCACATCAGTGTCTTTATGACAAAAAAAAATTTATAACCTTAAAATCCCAATAATTCGCCGTAATTTTAATTAAAAAATTCGCCATTTTATCAACCAATCGAATTAAAGTACCGGTCGATAACGCTAACCTGTTGTTACATCCGGGTCTTTTTGAAATTGTCGTCTGCTTTCTTTATTCAGGACGCCATCTTGAAAAGGTAAGCGTTGGTTATAAATCAATGAAAATCTACGCGTAATCGATCATCGAGCGGAAAGAAATAGCCGTTTACGTTTAAATACATTACGAGAAGTGATAAGAAGTGCTTTTTATAATTAAACGAAAACGAAATATGCACACAAACGGGAAAATGTCGCTCTCTAATAACGATAAAAGTATTAAATTATACGCTCATATCTTCAACGTTTACGTAGCATTATAAATAGAATATACTTTAAACAATGAATTAAAAGCCGTGTACAGCGGTCGGTCGGTATTAATTTACAAAAAAAAAATGAAAACTTTTAAATTAAAAATCGATTGTTAACTCTGCTCGGACGATATTTCCGCACATTTATGTTAACTTAAACGTTATTGGCCGAACGGGTACGAAAGGCAGCTCGATGTCCAGTCGGCTTTCGGTTTACGACTTAATGAAATATTTTACGTGTCGTATTTAAAATTGAAGAGGTTTGCTTGCTTTCCGATAAAAGAGAAAGCGAATTGGAAGAAAGGAAATAGATTTTATGAAGAAAAGTATTAATATTTTCTCGACGTACCACAAGTAAGTCAATCTACTCTTAATTTATCGTTATTGATGTGTGGATTGTGTAATTATGTTGCCTACCGATTAAAATATGTTACGTTTCTCGCTTTACGACGGGATCGACCGGCTTTCGTCAACGTCTTCGTTAAGTTGGGCATGAACTTCTAGGCTATAACGGCCCGTGGTAAAGTGTGACGTAATTGTCACGTAATAGTAGTAGTATGCGTTTATGATGGTCGTTACTCGGAGAATAATGCCTTCAGGAAGGTCTTTTAAGGGTAACTGAGTCCCTATTCGGGCGTTACGGATATGGAGAAAACCCGGAAAACTCCACGTCCGAGCCAGGCTCCCGAATTTCTAGTGTTCGGGGAAAGGAACCGCTCGGCCATTAGTGGGCCTTCTTTACGCCTAATTATCTAACAATAAGAAACGTCCGCATCTTATGGGATTACCATGGGTACACGAAAAATATATACGCTGCTCGAACGACAGAATTTTTCAAAAATTCTAAATAATAAAAAGAATTTGATAAATGTTTGTTATACCTCTTCTCCAAATCATTAACTTATTTAAAGCAAAACTTAGGTTTCGGCGTTGTTTTTTCGTTAGGTACGTGTCGATTCGGCATTTCGGCCATCTTCGAAACGTCCATTTCGTTAGGATGCCGTTAAGAATTATTCCTTACTATTTAGGTTGGGGCCCGATTAAAACAACTAACATCGGAAAAGGGGAAAGTCTGAAATTGTCGCGCCTTTCTCGTGCGGGGTTTCATCTATTAATTAAATACCGGGCTCCTGATAAAACGGGTTGGAATAAACGCCCGAAAACTGAGATAAGACTACGAGAAGATACGTCGATGCAAATTTTTGGATGTCCGCCGTTCGAGCCTGATTATACGGGTAAACCGGTAGGTTACAGATTTTCGTACTCCAGTGCCGAGTTTAAAACAGACGAGTGGCAAAATCGTAAGGTCGAAGAACCAGGAGCCGAACAAGAGATCGGCGGAACGAATAGCAAAACAGTCAAAACGAGAAAGTAAAAAAATAAAGCCAAGAGGATAACTTGTGCCGGCACCAGCAAACGACAGACAATGGAAGATTCGTGGGAGGAACTCGGTTCATCAATCACGGAGAAGGACGACGAAAATAGATTTAAAAAAAAAAAAAAAGTCGCTATGTAAATTCGACTACTTCTGGACGAAACTTCTTAACCGGTGTAATCGTTTTCTAGATATATTTTGTAAATAAGTAACTAACCGCCGACCGTAAGTTTATGTTATTATTTACCGTTTTCGACGGCGGCCGTAATTAATTTCCGCTTTGGTTTTGCTCCGAAAATTTATTTTAAATTATAAGTTTTGGAGATTTACGTAATTATACGTAACCGTTAGCGCCGGGGAGGGCCAGAAAGCGCGC